ATGGGTTAGTGAGATATATTAATTTTTCCGATTTCGATAATAGTAGTTTGACTCCTTCATTGTTGAGTGTTTTTAGAAGTTTTGCCAATTTGCTAATTACTTCCCATCTATACCCAATAATCTTTGCAGATTGTTGTTGCTGCTACTTCTTCTTCTTGATATGAAAGAAAGAAAGAAGGAAAGAAGGAAAGAAGGAAAGAAGGGATGAAATGAAAACCCTTGTTAATATGTGACCTGCAGATTTGCAGGCTGCTGCTTCTTCTTCTTCTTGTTGATATGAAAGAAAGAAAGAAAGGATGAAATGAAAACCGTTCCTAATAAGTAGTTGGATTTTGTTCTTACTAAACTTTTGCTTATTTTCATGCCCCCTCCTCTTACTTAAAATTATATATTAAATTTAATAAATAAATGAAAAATCCACTCTTCCTTTTGCAAACTTCTTCCATTTTTTTTCTCAATTAACTTGTTATTATTTAGAGGTCTCAATTAACATATTTTATCTTTCTGGGGGGATTACTTCTCTACGTTTACCTATGGTAGTTGTAATCCGCCTGATTGATTTTTTATTTGCATTGCTTGATTATTTCATCTTTTTCATCTTAATTTCCATCTGTCATATTCTGGTAACCATTCATGAAAGCAGCCTTTTAGCTAGATGTCAAAGAAACATAAACTCATGCCCATGACTATCATATTAATTCCATTTCAGACGCTTTTTCATTATAGTTTTCTATACACCTTCTTCAACTTTTAGTTTCTCAATTCAAATTCAAAATGATTGTTTTTCTTTGTTCAGTCAAGAATTTCAAGTTTTGTAATGAGTTCTGAGTAGATGGGTTCAGAAATCCAATACGTGTACAATTATTTTTTCATTCGATCTTGTTAATACACCGTATGAACCTTCAACCTTATATATTAATTGAATTGCAAAATAACCACAAAAACTCATGATTGGAGACCAAATTAATGTTTCAGAATGTGATTTACCCGCGTTGCATTGCGCGGGTACACCACTAGTATATATATATACATATATAGTTATATTTATAAATCTTGTCACTTTTTATTTGCACCTTAGGAAAAGAAAAGCAAAAAGAATATATATATATATATATATATATATATATATAGATAGATAGATATAGGGGCTGGTTCAAATATTAACCCAATATTTTGTGCAAACTATGCTAACCCATCTTAATCGTTCATTTTCTCATCTAACGGTTATTATTAAATGAGATTAAATAAAAACAATAATTTAATTAATATATTAATTAATATGTGTATGAACAATTGTTCAAAGGATAAATTGGTCAAAAATTTGTATTAATTAATATGTGTATGAACA